TTTTAGTTTTATGTTATGATAGTAGTTACTATCATTATCATGGTTGTAACGGGTAACGGGAAATCAGGGTTCGATTCCGGGGAGGGAGTCTGAGAAACGCCTCCCACATCCAAGGAAAGCAGCAGACGCGTAAATTACCTNCGGGAAATCAGGGTTCGATTCCGGGGAGGGAGTCTGAGAAACGCCTCCCACATCCAAGGAAAGCAGCAGACGCGTAAATTACCCACTCCCGGAACATGGAGGTAGTGACGAAAAATGACGATACTGGATTCATCCTTTGTAATCGGAATGAATGAGTTCTATATTTTTAAATAAGAATAAAGTGTGTTAATATATATTTTTAATAGTAATTAGAATATATATATACATGAAAAACGACTTAAGTACTTAAACCCAACCGTGTTTTGTGGGCGGGCGGGTCATACATACATATAGGTGAGACTAATATAAGCGTGTTAAAAACTGCGCTTTTTAGCCGAATGGACAAAAATCGTATCACAAGCAGCGAGTTGTCATCAGTGACCGTGTCGTTATCTTAATGATCCATTACAGCGGCATTTTAAATTCTCCGAAAAATAGAAATATTTATTTATATGCCACAGTAAAACATTATTTGATTTTGCAAACATCAATTCTGCCTATCGATAATATCGAGATGTATAAATATTTCCTTACTGATCTAATAAAGTTACGGCAAATCCGTGTTTTTTAGTGAAGGTTCATCTTGGCATGCTCAGATTTCGATAAATTTCTTTTATTTGAAAGCTCTACCTGGACACTGTAGAAATTATTCGCGAAAGCTATCGTAAACTATAGTTTTGCGGTGAGCTTTTGAAGTCACAACGTCTTAAATGAAAACGCTTACAGTCGCTAATGAATTACGATTTAATATTAATTATTGGACCAATATTTTTGTATAATACATCAAAAGATTCCAAATTATACTTTGTTAAAAATGTAACGCACAAATATTCAAAAAGCTACCTTCAAGATTTTTATTTAATTTTTTTTTAAGTATAAATATCTCAAAATAAATCGAGAATTATAAGTAACTAAAATCTAGCACATTGGGATGGCATAGTTGGGTTCAGTTTATATGATATCTGACAGTGATTAAAATTACTATCATGAAAAACATTTGGATGCAAATCTGTAGACAGTGTTTAAATTTAAAAAATTAATGGATTATTCTTAAAGCTACATAATCTCCTATTTGATTATTTACATTCTGATTACAAGTTTTATGATTTATAAAAAATAAATAAGAATAAATAAATGAATATATATGTATATGTATATCTCTTTCTTCTAATGGTCTTGCCTTTTCGTTTTACCAATAGTAATGTTAAGACTTGTTATTATATCAGTGCGTCAGTATTAGTGCGACAACGGCCACAATAACCTATCCACTAGCTCCGCTCAATGTCCGGTCAATTAATTATAAATTGTATAGAATTTATATTTGTGAATTAATAAATCATTTTTATATTAATTACATAAAATCACATTGTTGAGGATTTTAAATTATATTATACAGTCCGCTAATTATAAAAACAGAAATAAAATAACACACGAACCATTACGTGGCGTTAACATATGGTCCTATCGGTACGGTTCAATTTAAGTGCGATCGTGAATCATTACGCGACTGAATTTGCAAGGATTAAATAAAATACTACCAGGAGTATTAGTATTTTTAAATATAAAATATATTTATTCAGTAATTGAATAACAAAAGTAAACACAAAAACAACATTTCACCAAATGCACAGACTAATTTAATGAAACTAATTTTAATTACACACACTAATACAACCGCACTAAACGGAGCGCTGCCACCTACTGACTGACTGGTGTGTTTACCTGGCGGTGAACAGCCCTTTCAATGTATAATTTTATGATAACATTCGGCCATCCTTACAACTAAGTGTCCTCACTTAGTAACATAATAAAAAAAAATAATAATAATACTACATGATGAACACAATATTAACAATATCACATAATAACCCAAAAATAATTAATAATATTACATAATAAAAATTCAATAAAAAAAAATCATATTATAAATTGTAGTCCCTTAGATATTTTGATGTTTGTTTCTTTCGGTTAGATCTTCTTATCTCTGTTTGCTGTATGCTGGCTTCCTCGTCGCTGTTAATTGTATCTCCATCCTGGTCTGTGTCTTCTTCCTTGTTTGTGTCTTCCTCCTGGCTTGTGTTTTCTTCCTTGGGTAAATGGTACGCTTTAAGATTTGATACATGTGCTACTGTTGTATAGTGATGGTTCCCTTTGTTGGACAAGGCCGTTACCTGATAACTATCATTGGGATATGATTTCATTATCACTAGTGGACCTCTAAACTTTTTTTGTAACTTTGTTGACTCTCCAGTTTGTTCAGGAGCTCTCTTTAGGTATACAATATCTCCTATGTTATATTTTATAGTGATATTGTGTCCAGTATTATACCTTAACTTTCATAGTTCATGCTGCTTTTTAATTCTTTCTTGTACTTCTGCTTGAATGTTACCAGTAATTTACCATTGTTCATTTTTTTCGGTTATGCTTACTAAAGCTCCTCCTTCAATGTTAGCATAATATCCATATAACACATGAAAAGGTGTGTCGCCAATTGTTCTATTATGTGAATTATTCAATTGACATTGAACAAGTTCAAGTTTTTGATCCCAGTTTCTTTCTTCTTCCATGTTAACTTGGATCACAGGTACTAACACTGCATTTATTCTTTCTACTTGTCCATTTGACTGTGGGTGCCTCACTGAGATTAAAAAATGTTGCATTCCTGTTGCAGTGCAATAATCTGCTATTTTNTTCCTGTTGCAGTGCAATAATCTGCTATTTTTTTTGAAGTGAAACAACTCCCTCTATCACTTATGAGTCTCTTTGGTAAACCATACTCCAAAACAAATAGTTCCAGACATTTCAGAAAAGCCTTAGTACTTGTATTTTTCACTGAAAATAATCTGACAAACTTGGTAAGGTTATCTATGATTACTAATACATGACAGTTACCTTTTCTTGATTTTATAAATGGTCCTATATGATCTACATTAATAACTTCAAACGGTCTTCTACCTGGAGTGATAGGATGTAATTCACCCGGTCTTTTCCCTCTTGGTATATTAAATAACAAACATTCTGGACAACAAGTTATATGGTATTTGACATATCTTCTCATTCTTGGAAAGTAATACCTCTCTTGAATTTTCTTAACAGTCCCATCAACTGCAAAATATCCAGCAAGGTCATAATATATTATTACAAGACTTTTCTTCATACAGTTTGGTACTTCCTAAAGGTATTTTATATTTTCTCCATCAGTGATAACTCGATATAACAAATTGTTTTGTAAATTGAAGTTTTGGACACGTTTTTCTTGTTTTTTTGTACGTTTATCTGGTGATAATTTTAAAATTGAAATTAAATCAGCTAATCTTGGATCACTATTTTGCATTGCTGCAACCTCATCCTCTTCTTTCCTAATAGACAACACTTCCAGATAATCTTCAATTAATTCTTCCATTGTATCCACTGGATCATCAACTGGTGCTCTACTAGTTGCATCTACATGTGCCATCTTCTCACCAGGTCTATATTTGATTTCATAGTCGAATTCACTTAACATTGAAACCCATCTTGCTATTTGTGGATTTGAAGTTTTTTTGGTGACTAAGTGAGTAATAGCTTGACAGTCTGTTACAATAGTAAAGTGTATACCAATTAATAGATGTCTCAGTCTATTTTTACTCCAAATCACAGCCATAAGTTCTAGTTTGTTAAGTGGTACATTGATACAGTCTCAGTTGTTTTCTTGGAAACGGCATAGGTAAGATGCATTTTATCGTCTGAGCCTTCCTGTAATAACAGTTCACTGAGTCCCACAGCACTCGCATCACAATGTAGTTCTGTTCGGTCCTTAGAATTGTACAACTTAAGTATTGGTTCTTGAGTCAAGTTCATTTTCAGCTTTTCAAACGCAGTTTGTTGATCGGGTCCCCAAACAAATATCTTATCCTTCTTCAATAGGTCACTTACGGGTTTTGCATTCCTTGCATAATCAAATACAAATTTGCGAAAATAGCCCGTTAATCCTAATAATCTCCTCGTGTCATGCTTGTTCTTTGGTGCAGGAAAATCCGATATTGCTTTCATTTTGCCTGAACCTGGAGCTAACCCGTCTGAGCTTATCGTAAAACCCAGGTATTCCACCTTATCACACGCAAATCGACATTTCGATAGTTTAAGTGTGAGCTTTGCATTCGTTAATGCCTTAAAACGGTTTCAAGTTTGAACAACATGTCTTGAATATCCTTGGCTGGAATTAAAACATTATGTAAGTACCAGACCGCCACTTCATTTCTTAATGGTCCCAACACTTTTGCCATTAGCTTTGAAAAAACATAAGGTGCATTTGTAAGCCCAAACATCATTCTTTGAAATTGGCTTGTTTTTGTTGGGGTTATGAATGTAGTCTTGCGTTTAGCTGNTTGGGGTTATGAATGCAGTCTTGCGTTTAGCTTCTTCAGTCAATGGTACTTGTAGATACCCAGATGCCAAGTCTAGAACACAAAATATTTTAGCTTCTGATAGTCCTTGCAATTGATCATCTATGTCAGTTATAGGAAATGTTTTTTTTTTGTTTGTTGGTTAAGTTTTCTATAATCAACCACCAGTCTCGGTTCACCGTCCTTCTTTGACACTAGTAGTACTGGTGAAGCGTAACACAAATCTGTTTCTGTAACAATTCCTAATCTCTTCCATTCTTTGACAATTGCATCAATTTTTCCCCGTTCTATTTCTGATGTTTTGTAAGGTTTTGATATGACAGGCTGATTGTCATTCTCGATATCCATTGCTATCATGTCTGTACAACCCAACTCTTCCATACATAGTGCAAAACATTCTCTATAATTTTTAATTAATTCGACCAATCTGCTCTTATCCGCAACAGTGATTGTTGGTCCGCATTGAATCATACCTTCATCGATTACTACTGAAGATTCTTTCTCTAATGATTGTTGTACACTTTGTACATAATTTATTCGACCAATATAAGCACCAACTTCTTCTGGTGAATTCATTGAGTGTTTTTCATTCATAAATGGAAATACAATATTATAATCAAAGATCAATTCCTCACTGGTTTTCACAAAAGTAACTGTGTCTTTCTCAGTAAATGTTTGACCAACCAACAAATCATATTCTTGTACATCATCATTAACAACATACAATTCTACCTCCTCTGATACTTGATCAATATTTAACGTCGGCTTGGTCAATCAGCACACAAGATCCGCCTTGATGTTGCCATAAACCATCAACTTACAGTCAGTCGCTTGTATTTCCAATTGATGAAAACATTCCACACTTAATTTTATGATGCATATATCGCATCCAGTTGCTGGTGTACTGTGATTATTAATTGAAATTGATTTAATATAAATATTTCTTGGTATGGCCATCCTTACCACAATTGGTACAGACCATGGGTCTCCTAGGGTTGGGACAGTCTCGTCCAATATGTCCATAATTTGAACAGTTATAGCAGCGGATATTTCGCGAACGAGTAGTTACATTCCCCATCTGATTTTCTAGTTTCTGTGTTGACAAATCTTTTGGTTGCCTAACAGTAATATTATTGAGCGGGGTGGTTTTGTGGAAACGATTATTTCTTTCTTTAAACACCTCTTCAAATTCACGTATATCTCTGATTAAGTCTACTTCTTTTATATGTGAATTGCTTAATAAAATGTTACAAAGCTCCCTTGATAACAATCCTACACAGAGCATTTTTTTGGTTTCTAACGCTGATAATCCCAAACTACGACATAGTCTTAGTTTATCATGAAAATATACGTGTACCGACTCACCCCTTTCTTGCACTCGACTGTCCATGCGTCTCCAATTTCCGTCAAACTCAATTCAGACATAAACATGGCCTTAAATAAGGTTTCAAAAGTCGACCATTGGTCTATTTCAGTCTGTCTTGATATAAATAGTTTTTTGCCGCTCCTTCTAAATTTGATCGAACCGCTTTTAATTTGTACTCATCCGGCCAATTGTGCAAATGTGCGATTTTATTTTAATTACTTTGAGTCATTCTTCAGCCACCGCACAATCGCTACTTTCCCCATTGAAACGTCTGATGTTCTGTTTTAAATCTGAAACCATATTGAACTGTATGCCGGTTCCAAGTCGATCTAATACTTTTTCCAAACTTATGTCTCGTTGGGCATTTTGTTCAATTATCATCCGCATTAGCTCATGAACTCCCGTTTGAGTTAATCCTTTATCCTCGATAGGCATTGTGCATTAATAAATACCAAGTACGATTAATGTCGGCTTAACTTCGTGATAACGGCCTGAACGTATATTATGTTTATCTGATAAGATACTGATAACTCGCACGTTTACCGTTACCGCGTTAATGTACCGTGGCGTGACCACAACTCCACCGTAGTACAACAGTTCTGAGCGACACTAGATCTACTATCCTCTCTAACATGTGGTTACGAAATGATCGTACAAATATATTCGATAATGATCCCACTTCTGATTTTAAATATAAAATATATTTATTCAGTAATTGAATAACAAAGTAAACACAAAAACAACATTTCACCAAATGCACAGACTAATTTAATGAAACTAATTTTAATTACACACACTACTACAACCGTACAAAACGGAGCGCTGCCACCTACTGACTGACTGGTGTGTTCACCTGGCGGTGAACAGGCCTTCCAATGTATAATTTTATGATAACAGTATTGAAGGTAAGTGAATTATATTGTAACATAGTGGTGGATTGTTAAGTAAATCGAGCGTTCGTTGCGCATATATACAAATAGAATTACAAAAACCCAAGTTCAATAGTCAACATGGCAACAGGTGAGGTAAGGAATGAGTTAGCAGTATGCATTATAAGACGAGGACAGATAAAGGCACAGCTGACAAAATTCCAAGCACTTATAAATGAGCTAACAAATCAAAACAATCAAACCCAGATAGGATTGCGGTTGGAAAAAATAAAAGAAAAGTGGAATGAGTTTGATAACATACAAAATAATATTGAAGCGCTTGACCCAAGTGAAGAGAATTTAGAGTATCGTGACATATTTGTTGATACTTATTTTGAAAATGTGGCAAAAGCAGAAGATCTACTTAAAAAAGTTGAAATTCCTATTAATGTTGGTTCAAATAATCACGGCAGGAGGTCTGTTTTTACCATGAAGACAAAATAAAATCCAAAATTTTTTTTTTCATGATAAAGTATATTACATTAGTTATAATTTAAGATATATATAAAAGTGTCAGACTTTTCGTAACACTTTCAAAAGTGTGCTTGAAAAAAATAATTTTTTGTGAAAACGTTATCATTTTGATCCCTCCCTGTGGGCAAGTAATGTCTTACATTTATAAAATCATTATACCAAATGATAAAGTAATTTTGCATTTATAAAAACAAAATTATATTGATTTAATCATTTTTAACAAAGTTGTGACAGTTTCAAGGAAAATAAATTGAAAAAAGTCGAAAATTAGCGATTTTTAAATTTGTNTTTTAAGTAAAAAAAATTGAAAAAATTTCGAAAATTAGCGATTTTTAAATTTGTAATTTTTTTGGAGGTTTCCCCCATTTACGGGGAACGAGGGAATTTTTTTCAATTTTTGAGGGTAATGTCTTCGACTAGATACGATTTGTGATCTTTTGACGTATCATTGAAAGAAATCGGTTCGGTGAGAGCTAATTGCTAATAATAGCAATTAAACTATTAAAACAAACGATAACGACGAGCATACACGTAGTTAATTCTAAAAATACGAATATTTTACTGTATGGACGACGCTACGGGTCGTTCAAAACCCATACATAAGATTGCAGCTTAATGGTACCCACACGCAAACGATTTGGAACCACACTTATAACATAGATTTTGGCATATTGCTCGTGTGTGCATGCGTATCCGTATATAATGAACGAAAACAACTTTAATGTTCGCACACGACAATAACTATTTTACTATTCAAAAACTAGCATTTTTAAAAAAAATGTAGCATGATGAATCTACAATAAATTTTCTTCTTTTAATTAATTTTAGAAGGGGGTGCGATCGTCCCGTCGTCCGAGCCACCACTTACAGTTAGATATCTATACTCAATGACATTATGTTACTAAAGAAACGCTAATCGATGTTACTAAACGGTATGCAACGTAAGACAGTCAAACTATGAATGATGCCCCGATTCCGAACGACAAATGCGCGAGGCGGTTATTTTGAAATGACGAAAGGCGTGGTCGTCACAGATACGGAAAACAATGCCATCTTTGGAGCGTTGAATACGTTTTACGTTCTGTGTGGCGTCCTCTTAAAAACTCAATAATTTGATTAAATTTTTCATTATAAAAAATAATAATTTTGATTTGTTCATTTTTCAAAAAAAAAAAATAAATAAACACATCACGATTATAAAATGGTATTTTTTTTTTGTTTGATTTTCTCAATAATACGTAAAAAATGTTTTATTGTTCCCCGTAAATGATGGAAGTCCGCTATGAATTACTATTTTTAAAATCATTAAATATTTTTTAAAAAAATTACTATAACTTATTGAAAAATGATCAAATCAAAATTATTATTTTTTATAATGAAACCGAAAATTATATGAACAAATATAATTTAAACATTTTTTTTTTGTTATATTTAGTTATACGTTATTCTTGAATTATTAACTAATTATATAGTCTGTATATGTTACTATTTTCTTATTGAGATTGCAGCTCAACAACAAATGTCTCGATTTATCATTCATATTGTCGAAATTAATATCATTTCTACATCCACAACACCAATCACGTGTTGGTNTATTGTCGAAATTAATATCATTTCTACATCCACAACACCAATCACGTGTTGGTATATGTTAGCGACAAATTACACACCATAAGTCAAATCAGCAAGCACAAGTCAAACTCTCACGAAGGTAAACCCAACGAACGCCCTGCACGATTCAGAAACCAAGTGGGGACTCGAAAAAATAAAAGCTAGTGTTTACCCACCTACTAATTGGCTACTTCATCAAGAGTATTTGTCTTTAATGACAGAAGAAGACATTATGGCTTGTGGTAGTAAAATAAAAGAGTCAAACAGTAATAAAATGAAGAAAGCAGAGGAGGTGAATAAACCAATGAGTGAATTAAAGTGCTCATTGATCAATATATGAAACAATACCTTCAAAATCATTCTAACTCTTTCAACGCCAGTAAATCCTTATATTTTTCTTTTTTGGTGGTCTACTTTTTAATTTCGTCCCAATAACTAATTATATAGTCTGTATATGTTGCTACTTTCTTATTGAGATTGCAGCTCAACAACAAATGTCTCAATTTATCATTCATATTGTCGAAATTAATAAAATTATCAGTTCCATATCGATCAAACAATTGGTCCATGGTAATTTCTCCATTAATTTTATCATAAATTTGCAAACCTTAACTGAGTTCTCCCCAATATCATTGTCCGAATACAGTTTTCAAATCATTCATATCTATGGAATTTATAATATCAAGATTAATAATAATAATAATGCCAAACGAAAATAAATGTTTTTTAAACATTTTCAATTATTAAATTTTATTGAAGTAAAATAAAAATGGCTTTGTACAGTCTAGAGTGCTTAAATATATACAAAATATATTATTTATTTTTAAAAATGTTGACA